ATTCCATAGTGATAATAAAGAGAGCAAGAGATGAAGGGTCACATTGTCGTAAGCCTTACGAGGATTTTAAAAAAAACCATGATTCCTACCTTTAATGATCACAGAAAAGTAATAATAATTCTCAATACAATTCTTAATAAGCATAATAAAAGAGTGACTAAACCCAAATAAAGACAAAACATTGTATAAAAAATTCCAATTCAAATTATTATAAGCTAGTGACATCAAGTTTAAATGATATTGCCCCCTTTCACTTTAGCATTAATATCATGAGTGATCTCTTGGGTCAGGAGAACATTGTCAAAAATTCTCCTATCTTTCATAAAACCTGTTTGATTATAAGAAATAATTCTAGGCAAAATGTTAACCAAACTACTTGAAATAATTTTAGAAATAAGTTTATTAAAAAAGGAGCACAGACTAATCAGTCTAAAATCATTCCAGTTATTGGCCGCCACCTTTTCAGGATTAAAACAATATTAGTAGAAGAAAAAAATTTAGATTAAAGGTTACTAGTAAAGAAATATTTCAAAGTCACAATCACATCCAACTTAATAATATTCCAAGTCTTCAAAAAGAATTTAGTAGTGAACCCTTCAAGCCCATCAACGCAATCCCAATTCATTTCATTAATAACATTCCAAACTTTAACCTCAGAAGGAGATTGACTAAGTAAGTGATTCTCATTATCACTAATAATATGAGGAATAACATAGAGATTAATAATATGAATAGTGTTAACATTATTATTAAAACTGTTTTTAAAGTGCTCAACCCTAGAAGTTAAAAATTAAATCCTTAAATTCATAAACCCTCCCATATTCATTGTTAATAATTTTATAAATATGATTTCTGATTCTTTTCTTATTAGCCATAGCATGAAAGTATTTGATATTCCTATCCCCCTCCAAAATGATTTTAGAAGTATATTTCTTCCTCCAGAAGATTTCCTCCTGATTCTGCTGAAAGAGATACACTTTAGTATTATTAAGACTAGGAAGATTGTCAATACTAGGATTATCTAAATACACCTTATCCAACTCAATCACCTTATTCTTAGCTTCCTTAATATTAGCAAAAATATTTTTGAAAATATTTTTATCTCGTCATCTTAGGACCTGCTTTAACCTACTCATTTTGGCCCATAATCTAGACATACCATTAATATTGTTATTAAGAAAAATAGGGGCATGCCAGTTAGTTTGAATCACATTCATAAAATTATTTTGAGATAATCGACCAAATGTTTTGAAATCTGAAGGTAGGAGGGGGAGGAGATATATTAACCTTTATAGCCCAAAGTAAATGAGCATGGTCAGAAATAGTTGTATTTAAATGTTCCACATAAGTCATGGCAAAATCAACAATCTAATCATTATTGAATAAGAACCTATCAAGTATTTGCCACAAAGCAGCTCTACTCCAAGTAAAAGCACCCCAAGAAAATCCAATGTCATGTAAATTGAATAAGTAATCATGGAGTTGAAATCCTCTATGGCATTAAGGTTGGAAGGATACCTCCCAATCTCTCAGAAGCATTAGCAATAATATTAAAATCTCCACCCACACATCACGGACCCTTAGTGTTAAAAGCAAAGTCAGTTAAGTACTCCCAAAGGGGAAGCCGGGCCAACCTAGAACATGCAACATACACAAATGAGGCATTACACTTGATATTAAAGAAATAAATTTAAACATGGACAACTTGAGTAAAATCGAAAATAATATTCACATTAATAACACAATTCCACTTAATTCAAATTTTATTAGAGTAATTAGCATGCTTCATGGAAAAATCCAAATGAGAGGATATAAAATCAAGCTTATCAATAGATATAAAAGGCTCAATTAAACCAACAACTGAATATTATACACTCTACACAAATTTCTAACTCTGACTTTAGAATCTGCGGCCCAATACCCCTAACATTCCGTATAAGAGCCTTAACCGTTACAATCTTTAAAAGTAGCTTGAGCTCTAGTAGAACAAGGCGTATAAGGTAATGGAACTTTCAAAATTTTCCCTTTCTTTTTACCCACTTTAGAAAAACCATCCTCATCATAAGTTTTAGAAGCACTATCAACATGATTAGAAGAAATAGAATTCACCTTTTTAACATTATTTTTTTTATTTGCATTCATAGAATTCGATAGAGATTTAGGAATAAATTCCCCTTCTTCCCAATCCTCATTTGAGGCATCCCCTAAGTCCAAAACTCCCTTATCATTATCTGCTTCTCTATTAGCAACAAGAAACAATTGAGAATTGGGTGACTGAGGATTATCATTATTTTGAAACATAGAATCAATTAAAACATAAATATTATGAACCTTCTCATCCTCATTAGGAACATCCACACTAGTTGAACTCTTCTTAGCTAAAATAATTTCTCTATTTTCTGAAAGATATAATTTGAAATTAACCTCATTCCCATGGTTTTCAATGGGGGAAGGTAGCTCAGTATGATGCAATAAGGTTGGATTGTTACTATTCACATTGGTCACAATATCTCTCGAATTCGAGACAGCCTTCCCCACATACAGGTTAGAGATTTTTTTTCAAATCCGGATGTAATTTAAAGCAATTAGATAAAGCATGACCATGAACCTTACAATCAGAGCAAAATTTTGGCACTTTTTCAAACTCCACTTTTTGTAAATAACCAAAAGCTTTGGATCCAACCCATATCTCCTTCACATGTTTTTTTATAATATTGACTTAAACTAGAACCCTAGCCAAAGAGGGGCGGGTCCTAGAAGTTGTCATTTGATCGGTCTACAACGGACGACAAAAAAAGGAACCGAGAGCATGCAAAACCTTCATATTGAAAAATGCAAGCGTAAATTTGGAAACAAAATCCAAATCAGCACTATGGGAGATTCCTCTCTAATTAATGTCAAAAAAAGAGTCCATTTAAGAATACACATTTGATAGTTATTGATAAAGTAAGCTCTTCTCGTAAAAATCCTGCTGTAATATATGTCATTAGAAAGCTGAATTACAACATGGCGATAATCCAACAATCGCACAGAGTAAAATCCAGATAATTTGTGGTTACCAAAAAACAGGCGAATCTTATCAAGGTTTGGCTGACGCAAGAAAAATTTACCAACTAACATAAATTGAAATGGAGAAGCAAGTTTAAGAATCTCTTCATCAAACAAAAGCACAGCTAGTACACTATTGAAAACCGATTATGTTAAAGTTACTTAAGAAGTAGTAAGAAAGCCATCCCAAATAAAGCCTTAGACAAAAATTAAAACAAAGTTCAGTGTGGATAGAGAACTTTTGATGAGAAATGGAGCAATGAAGAAGAGTAGAATGATAAAACAATCTACAAGACTACAAGCTACATGAATTTTAGAACTACAACTTTCTGACTATCGTTACACAACTATGGTCTTCTGACCTTCATCGCCTGCCGATTATGATTCTTCTGACCACTGTAACCAACTATGGTCCTTTTGACATTTGTTGTAGCCCAACTACGATCTTTTTGACCTCCGTCGCCCACCGACGATGGTCTCTCCGACCACCATCTCTAAACTACAGTCGCCCCGACCGTCGTCGCCTGACTACGGTCCTTCTGACCTTCGTCACCAACTACAGTCCTTCCGACCTCCTTCGCCTGACTATAGTTTTTCCAACTTACATCACTTGTCGACTACATGTCAGCACTAATTCTTCAAACTCCAACCATGTATTGAACTCTATATAATATATATTGTATACATCAAGCCAAGCATTCCCCCCAAGGAATGACCTCATTTATAATCAACTACAAATACTAGTGGATCCATTTGAATTGGGCAAGACCCGATGGGTTTTCCTCCTTTTCATGGGTTTTCACGTAAAAACTTTTATGTCTCATATGAATATTGCACCCCTCTCTTTCATCTAATTATCTGTTGAATCTTCGTACAAAGCTAAGACGTTAAAATTTATATTTCTCTATCGCCATGAATGTTTCATAGCATGTTTTTTTTGCACTCAATGAAGCTCAATAGCCTGGTTATCATGCCTAATAATATTATGAAATGATTTTATTATTTTATATAATATGAATAATAAAAAAATATTTTATTATAAAGAAAAATATTTTATTATATTTTATTTTATTATGTTCATCTCTTTTTGCTTGTTATATAAATATGATCTTAAAATCAATTGTTGCATGAGTAAATATAGTATTTCATAAATAATAAAAGAAGATAATTCAATTGATGATCAAAATACTAGTTACCATCATGAAATAACAACACATACAATAAACCATATACCCCCTTCAATTGAACTTGATGATCCAATAATAATTGTACATAAAGGCTAATTGAGAAGGTAGCAAAAATATTTTTTATCATTGAAATTAAAAGGAAGGCTTATTATTCTAAAGAGAGAGAAAAGTAAAGCAAGATCTACTTTATTTCCTATAGAAAATGAAGAGTTTCAATCTTTATAAATCTTCTAAGCAATTTAAGATATAAGTTCAATTTTTTGAATTTATTAAAATAATACTATTGACTATTTATATATAATATATTTTTCAAAGCAAATATAATATTATGACTTATTTTTTCAATCAGAATATTCTAATAAAAAAAATTTCCTTCATCTGAAAACTAATTAAAAATAGGGAGATTTACATACATATCACCTAATACTATTCTATTTACATATTTAACATCTAAAACTTTAATATTACATACAAATCACCCATAGTTCATTTTCATATCAAATAGGAGTGGTAGAAATGAAATATATGAGTGATAGGAAAAAAATATAAGTGATATATTTGATATTAAAATAATATTAGGTGGTATGCATGTAATATTAAAATTTTATATATTAGATATGTAAATAGGATGTTATAAAGTGGTATGTATGTAAATTTCCTTTAAAAATATTTTAGATCTATTATTACAATTTTATTTTATTTTAAGAATTCTTGCCATTATGCACAACTATCATCTTCAACTTAGAAGATTTATTGGGGCAAACCCCAATTTAGACTTATTTTGTTTGAGATGCGAATGTGCTGTGTCTGCTTGGAAGTTTCTGACTTCGACTTCGAGAGGGTAAAAGGCCAAGAGGATTTCTAGGGTTTACCTGCACCAGACCATCTGGTCTGTTCTTGACTCGTTTGTTGTAGAATCGTAGATATTACCGGAGCCATATTATGTCTTTTTTCAATCTTAGAGCTCGATTTGGTCTAAGTCCGCTGTGCAGAGCCATGGTATCTGACCAGGACAGGTGACCTATCTTCCACTTCTGGATCTGTCTGGAAGTTCTCCAATTCGTCGAAGCCATGGTAAAGCTCTCCTCTCCCTTCAACTTTCTGTTTCTGGTATGAGATATGAAATAATCAAGGGTTTCAGGACGGAATGCAGCCGTTCGCTTTGCTAGTTTGGATTTCTGTTTTTTTTTCCCATAAATTATCTGTTTTGATCTTTTAGTTTCAATTTCTGTGCAGTCAACATCCAAGAAGGTGATCACAAGGGAAGAATGGGAGAAAAAGCTTAAAGATGTGAATATAAGGAAGGAGGATATGAATAAGTTGGTGATGAACTATCTGGTGACGGAAGGTTATGTTGAGGCGGCCGAGAAATTTAGAATCGAGTCTGGCACCGAACGTATTATGATTTGAGATTTTGTTCTTGATATGCATTGCTGCCATGCTTTAATAATGCATTCTTATTCTTGTTTTACTTGTTCCTCTGCAGCGGAAATAGATCTTGCCACAATAACCGACCGCATGGCGGTGAAAAAGGCTGTTCAGTCTGGTAATGTGCAAGATGCAATAGAGAAAGTCAATGACTTGAATCCGGAGGTATGCCCATTTTATCAGAGTTGTGGTTTGTTTGTTGGTCTTATGAAGCTAGCAATTACCTTTTGTGTAGTCTTTTTAGTATAAGAAAGAACTTCTTAGTTATCCTGGTGTTGTATTACGCTTTCTATTTCTGTTATTATTTCTTTTTTCTGTTGTTATTTCTTTGGAGAAGCTGGCTCTCCATATACGTGGCTGAAACTTTCCATGAGATGAGAGAACTCATATTTTCTAACATATTGCAGTTATATGCATTTTACATGCTAAGCTAAGGATAGTATCTATTGTTGGAGAGACATTATCTGTGGAGTTGGATTCATCGGGTGAGGAGATCTCAAGAATACACTAAACTGTTAATGGTTCACTATTAAAATATGCATTTTTCTAGAAATTAAAACTTTAAAGGCTCCAAAGAAGGAGAAGGGAAGTTAAGCCTTACTGATAAATGCATCAAACAAAATTCACAGCTACATTTTTTTCTATTACTACACTCCAATAAAATTTATTGGTTGCTGCAGAAATTAGTTTGTGCATTTGGAGTTGTTCATCAGAATTTAGTTTATGTTTGGCAAAGATACTGAAACGATTCACAATTTTGAAGCGATGTAAATAGAAAGTAATGTTTCAGCTTTCATTTAATATTTTGGGCTAGCATTAAAAATAAGAGGTGTTCTTTTCTTATAATTTTGTCTAGGTGTGAGGGGGAAGATCTCAACAAAAACCATATCAAGCATTTATCTCACTACATGTGGTCGGCTAAATGAATCCTTTTTCTCCATTGTATCCTGTTAAGAGTAAAATTCTCATTTAAATTTAATAAAAAAGGTCATTTCTAATTTTTCTAGCCAAGTCTGTTTAGGTCTACCTCTACCTTTCTTAACATAGGCTAAATCTAATACATCTACTCTCCTAACTAGGTCATTGAAAGGCCGATGTTTCATGTGTCCAAATCATCTAAGGCGACTCGATCTAATCTTATCTTCAATTGGTCTTGTGCGAGCTGGTGGAACCTCGAGGTCTAGCTGGCGGGACCGACTGGAGCTCGATTGGGCTGGTGCGTTGTGTGTGAGTTGCAGGGTGACTGGAGAGATTAAACGGGACTCGGGTCAATTTTGGGTCGAATTCGGGTTAGTGGGTTGACCCATACTGACTCAATTTTTTAAATGGGTCAAAAAAATTGAAACCAGAACTTGACCCGTTTGTTAAACAGATTGACCCGAACCCGAATTTTTTTATGTCGGGTTATCGAGTCGAGTCAATAATTGACACCCCTATCGTAAATATAGCGAGAAGTGTGCAATGACTGCTGCACTGACACTTGGGCATTGTATTAATAAGCAAGAGTTCCTACATTATTACCGGATGCTGGCAAAGATGCTTGTCCTTGAAACTATAATTTGGATAGGAACTTGAATTATAATTTTTCTTACAATCAAATTAATGAAATTAATAAATATTATAATTTATAGGAAGATAAGTATTTTATGTATTCAAGAAATTAAATGGGTTGGAGAGAAGGATAAGGATATTAATAATTTAGGATTTAAAGTATGTTATTCAAGTAAGAGTCGTAGTAGAAATGATTTAAGTGTGATTATAGATAATGTTTGAAGAATAATGTTGTAAAATTTAATGGAATTGAAGATAAATTATAGTTTTAAAGATTGTTGTTAATATTATAAGTGTTTATGCACCTCAAGTAGGTTTAGATATATGTTCAAAATTAAAATTTTGCTATGACTTAGAAGAATTAATATAATGGATACCTCATGAATAAAGAGGTTTAATTGGAGGGGATTTAAATGGACATGTTGGTAGAGTAGTAGAAGCATTCATGGTGATTATGGGTTTAGAGCAACTAATGGAGGTGATATGATCATATTGAATATTTAAATTTTGCTCTAACTTATAATTTTATAATTGCTAATACCTTATTTAAGAAAAGAGATGAAGATCTGATTACCTATAAGAATGAATATAGTAAGGTTTAGATTAATTATTTTCTTATAAGAAAAATAGATTTTTTTAGAATGCAAAGATTGTAAAGTTATTCTGAGTGAAAGTTTGTGTACCTAGTATTGCTTATTAGTTTTGGACTTTAAGATGAACGAGTGGAATGAAAAATAAAATATAATGTTGTCCTTGGATTAGATGAGGACATTCAAAAAATGCTAAAAAAAATTGTGTAAGTTTCTCGATCTTAAGATTTTGATTGTGCATGAGAAATCTGCCGGTTCAAGTGAAGGGAAGTTTTAAAAAAAGAATACTTTAAATAATTTAAATAGTGTAATAAAGTTTTAAGTTATTTTTTTTTAAACTTCCCTAATAATGTTATGTAAAAAAAAATAACTAGTAATATTAAGAATGTTGCAAAGTGTCAAAAGAAAAAGCTCCTAATAGGAAAAATAGTTAGTGTAATCAAAATGCGTTGGAAAAAATAAAAATAAGATGTTTTATTATAAAATTTGGTTTAAATGTAAAATCTTAGAAGGAAAGATATAGAATGTCTCGTAAGGACTCTAAGTAAGCAATATGCGCTGTAAAGAATTTAGTTTTTAATTATTTATATAATAGATTAAGGAAGGTAGAAAATGTATGTATGAGTTTGCCAAGTAAAGAGATAGAAGAAGTAAAGATTTAGTTTAAGTGAGGTACATGAAGGATGAATATTAAAAAAAATATTTTTATTAGAAGAGGATATTCAATTAGGTGATGAGATATTTTGATAAGATTTTTTTTAATATTATAAGAATACAATTGATTTTAGTGACCTTATCATCATAAATGAAAATAAGTATATTTTTTATCATCCTATGAGTAAAGTCAAAGTTAGAGTCTTTAAAGAAAATGAAATGTGAAAAAGTTGTTGGACCTGATGATATTTTAATAGAGGTGTGGAAATGCTTAGGAGATGAAAGAATTTCTTGGCTTTCCAAAATTTTAATATTATTGTGAAGACCAAAAAGATGTCAGATAAATTGAGAAATGTGTTGAGAATAAAGGTGATGCACAAGTGTGTGAGAATTATAGAGGATTTAAGTTCATGTCTCTTATATTAAAATTATGGGAGAGAGTTATTGAGCATAGGTTATAACGTGATACTAATATTTCTCAAAATCAATTTGGATTCATGCCAGGTTGGTCTACTATGAAATTTATACATTTATTGAGTGGTTTGATGGAGAAGTATAGAGAGAATAAGAAGGTTCTACATATTATATTTGTTGATTTAGAGAAAGTATATGATAAAGTTCCCAGAGAAATGCACTTGATAGTTCTAGAAAAGAAAGGAGTTAATATTGCTTATTTGTATTTAAGTCATTAAGGATATGTATGCAGGAGCTGTTACTTGTGTTCAAGCACAAGGTGGTTTGACCAAGTATTTTCCTATTTTAGTTGGATTATATCAAAGATCAGCTTTATGCCTATATTGTTTTGCTTTAGTCATGGATGTTCTTACTAGACATTTGCAAGAGGTTGTATGCTTTTTATTGATGATATCATGTTTGTTGATGAGATGAGAGAGGGAGTTGAAGGAAAATTTGAATTATGGAGGCCAACCTTAGAGTTTAAAAGTTTTCAATTGAGTAGATCTAAAATCGAATACATGAATAATAATTTTAGTAATAACAGATCTAGTTGAGGGATTGTAACATTGGGCAATCAAGTCATTAAAAAAGAGTGCATGTTTTAAATAGCTTGGGTCTATTCAAAGTAATGGTGAAATAGATGAGGATATTATTAGTAGAATTCAGGTTGAATGGTTGATGTGGAGGAATGTATCAGGCATGTTGTGTGATTGAAAAATACCCCTCAAACATAAAGGAAAGTTCTATAAGATGTTGGTGAGACCTACAACTTTATGGTGCAGAATGCTGACCATTAAAAGAGAAGCATAAAACTAAGTAAGTGTTGCAGGGTTGATGATGCTCAAATGGATGAGTGGCTTTACTCTTAGAGACAAAATACGTGAAAAGGTTGGAGTAGCTCCACTGACAACAACAACAACAACAACATCAAGCCTTTATCCCACTACGTGGGGTCGGCTACATGAATCCTTTTTCTCCCTTGTGTCCTATTAAAAGTCAAATTCTCGTTTAAATCTAATAAAGAAAGGTCATTCCTAATATTTTCTAACCAAGTCTTTTTAGGTCTACCCCTACCTTTCTTAACATAAGTCAAATCTAATACCTCTACTCTCCT